GCTGCGGCGCTGAGGTGAGCTGTTCGTGAAGAGGAATCCTACGAGGGAAGATTCTACACGAGACCTGCGGACCGAGAGGTAATTGTGAAACAAGGATGATTCGGTAAGCATACCAATGTACTAGGTCCTAAACCGCTTCCGCATAAATCTAAGATTTCCTACATAACACCCATTCATTTTTTATATTTTAGAGAATGAATTTGTAAAATAAGAACAAAAAACATTGTTTTTACATTTCCCAATATACCATTTATTTTATATATATATATATATATATAGGGTTTTATAATTCTCATTTAACATGATAATTGCAATTTTCCTACACACCCTTCGATTTCAGTGCTGACATGGGTCCCACATGCTTTTTATCTCTTTAACATGAGATTTCAATTCTCATTCAACATGAGAATTATAAAACTCATATATATATATATATATATATATATGGTAAAATCATTTCTCCGACTACTAGACGTTCAGAAATAAATCTTACACCGTTAATTGGTTATGATTTATATCTCCTTTAATGCATTTATCCACCTTTGTATAATTATGATTTCTCAAATTTATTTGTTGAACGTCAAGTATCTGGAGAAAAATAAAATCACACACGTATATATATATATATCGTAAAATCCTAAAGCAAGATTTGAAAATTAAAAAATAATTCCTCAATATTTATCAAATATAAACAACATAAATATATTATCAAACACTATTTTCTACCAACACTATTTTCTTAAGTGCAGAAAATGGTGTGACACCCTCCCATCCAAGGGAGTTGCCTGCTAAGCGGATTAGAGTTTGGACGTCATTGCTTTGATATTGAAAACGTATTTTTCTTTTCTTTTTGTTGCTAAATAAAACTTAAGATGAAAGCTGGTTACATACAAAAAGACTTAAAAGATTACATAGCTTGCTGAAAATGTTTAATTTCCTAGCAGACCTGTCTGTCTTGAAAAATTCGTATAAAATCGAGTTCAACAATTCAAAAAAATATTCTTTAATATATGGAAACTAGACCTCTAGTGCTTCGCGTACATATAAATTATACGCGAATCGGAGGTGAATAGCCCCACGAAACAAGACTCGTAAAGTACTAGAAATTTCATTGTATTTTTCCAAAAACCTCCTGACTTGCAAAAATCATAATAAATCGGGATTTCAGAATTTCATTGTAAAGTTTGTATAATTTGAAACTAGACATCAGGGGCTTCGCGTGCATATAAAATATGTGTCATTCGAAGGTCTATAGCCCCAGATTCCGAACTCGTAAGATACTCGCGAAAGTAGTTTAAAAATTCAAACTTGAAAACGTACATGAATTATTTTGCTAAATAATACTAGACTTTCACAAGTTACAAACAGACTCCAAAACCAAAATACAGCAATTAAAACATACTCTAACATTTTCTTACAACATCTCAAAAATAATTATCGCAGCTACTATAGCTATCAACCAACAATTAACAGAAATAGTATGTCAACATCATACTATTTAATTCATAGCGTTTGATGCAGCAACATATACCAAGTTCCCTGGGTTAATTATCACAACTTGTATGTACTAATTTACATTCTGCCCGTTAATAACAAAGAACAGTGAAATTTCCAAAGTCTCATTCATATACAGGTTCGGTTTTGGCCAGAGTTTGGGTGTACCTAATTATACTTCATCCCATGGCTAATTACTTTACTCATGCTAGAACAATTTAATCCTTGAACAGGCTGACTTCGTCCCTACTTACACATGTGAAACCTCATTAATTTATTTTTCTAACAAAAGGGCAGTCCAGCAAGATTAAATCGGCACACAAAATTTCAGTTTTAGCTTACATCCATTCAATCCTAAGACAGTTCATGAGGACCGAAATACAGAAAGAGAAAAGGCCAACATAAACTATTCCCCTAACATGCATGTGAGATCGAACAGGCAGAAACAAAGAAAGGTTATACACTTGACTTACATCCATGAGTAGGACACCCAAGGAGTACCATTCGGCTGAATGAGATAGTGACCCGATGCTGCTCAACTTTCCTCCTATTCTACCCTTCATGGTACGGTTCTTAGGCTGCATATAAGGGGAAACCCCAATCAGAATCGATTTAATTCATGAAAACAAGGAGACAAGTAATACCCTACTTCCTTGAGGATTGCATCACGGCTGGACACTACTAGAAAAAACTTGTATAGCGAGGGAATTGCTATGGAAATTCCGTCGCTAATTTGCTCATCATCGCAAATTCTCTCGCAAATGATTTTGTGAGAGAATTTGCGACGGAAAGTAGTAGTGAGGATGAAATTAGAGACGGAATTTTCATAGCAATTCCGTCGCTATACAAGTTTTTTCTAGTAGTGGGATAATAGGAAAAAGAACTAGAGTTTTCCTTTAGGTTCCTTCCTAAGAATGCTCACGGTCAAAGAGATGGGAAAGTGTTCAGAACCTTGTTGTTGTTTCTCAATGATGTTCACGGTTTAGAGGAGGAGTAAAAGAGAAGGGAAACAATTTCTGGTTTTCTTTCTACGCTAGGTACCTACGGCCTTGGGGAAAAGAGATGGAAGAAAATGGTGTTTTTCTTTCTAAACTCCTTACACATTCACGGTCTTGAAGATGTTGAAGGGAGGAGAATAGCTAAGTTTTCAGTTTTGTTGTCTCATTCAGTAGCACATAGAAATAAAAGGGAAGGGAAAAGATAAGACTCTTGGAGGCTGGATCATTGTGACACATTCAGAATTCTTTTATGTCTCATTGGGCGCATATATGACAAAGGCTGATTCAATTTGGTTACCACAGCAATAGATCAGAATTTTGGTCATGCTCTATGCGCACAAGTGGTGGAGAGTGAGTTAGATAACATAGCAAGAAATCTGATTACTTTCTTTACACTCTATGCGCATGCAAGGAGTGGTGGAAGGTTTTTTGGTTGACACATGGAGCACATGCAAGGCTGAAGTGAAATTTGAAGGTTAGCACATGTGATCAGAATTTAATTTAATTTTTTTCTTACCCTATGCGTACATGTGAGGGCTGACTAAAGTGGATAAAGGTTGCCATGTGTTTGGTCTTTAACTAATGAGAGGTTGCCTTCTAAGATCCTTAAGATAAGATGAGGATAAGTAAAAGATTGGGCTGAACCTTAATTACTCCTTAAGGCCTTTAGGCCTTCGGCCAAGCATATAATGGGGACAAAAATATACAAAGCCTAAAGGTGTTGGTAACTTAGGTACTACCCCACAAATTATAAGTTCCCAAGTCTTTTAAGTATTTTTATTCTTTCTACATGTTACACTTAATTTATTTATATATTTTTTTATAAAAGTTTCACATGCCTAAAAAAAATACTCACTTACCATGGTAATTCAATTAATTCCCCAACTTGAATTAATTCCACTTCATGAAAAATAATTATATACTTCGCAAACAATCCATGTGTTAACAAAACTCGAATTCCACTCATGCATCCATGTTCCTTATAGCACTTTATGTATATTCCTAATTACGTGAGATGTTACAAACGGGGTCAAAGAACATAATAATTATTTGTTTATACATTCTTTTTATAAATTTTTATAAATTATAATATGTACTCTTAAGAATATATTATTAATCAAATATACTTCCAAAAATACATAATATAATTTATAAAAATTTATAAATAAAAAAATTTGTGAATATAATCCTTTCTTTAAAAAGTACTTCATGTATTTAAACACAATAAATTAGCCTTTCGGGATTTTGTCTGGTTAATTTTAACCTCAATTCCAGTTCTAATTTTAAATCAGTAAATAAGGGAAAAATTATTCTCATGTTACATGAGATAACTTTCTCTCTTACACACCTTTCGATAATTCTGTCATTTTTTTTTCTTTCATTTTTATTTTTTAAGTGGTGGAACCCACAAGTTTGTCTCTATGAGATGTGATAACTTATCTCCTTTAACATGAGATTAATAAAACTTAATAAATAAATATCAACGCTGAAGTTTATTTAAAGTACACTGAACCCGTATCATTCCGCCACCAATCCCTGACATTACAGTTAATTGGGTCAGTTACGTTAACCATAGTCGAAAACTTTAGTCTTGGGTCAGCTTCTATCACATTCTCCTATTCAAATGACCGCCTTTCCTCTTCTTCTTTTTTAAATTTAATAAATAAAAAATTCTCATTTTAGGGACAAAACTTATTATCGTTTTTTTTTTTTTTTTTTTTGAGATAGGGAGATCGTGTCATTCAGCCAAACCTCATAGGTGTTTTATATTTATCCGGAAGAAAAAAGAGACAAGTATACCAAAATCCCTTCTATCCGTAGAAAACGAAAAAAGAAGAAAGGCTTCGGAAAAAAGAATACATAGGGATTGTACTAAAAAAAAAAAAAAAAAAAAAGAGCCTACATAGGGGAAGGCAATAGGTTCTATGGTGAAAAATTAAACCGCAGAGGCGAAGACATAATCAAACATTAGAGATTAAGACCATTCGCAGTTGAAGTTAAGTTCCATGGCCAGTGCAAATTGACCAGGGGATCCATTATGTAGTTACAGGGGTGAATACAAGTAGGGTAGAGAAGAAAAGCGAAAACATGGAGAGACATAGTTATACATCAAATACAGAAGAATGAAATTTTCTCAAATGTAATTTATAATAGTCCTAACCTAATTAATTAGCAAATTATATGTAATTAAATAATTAAGCATGTATTAGTGAGTAAAATTAAGTATAAGGCTTAGTTAAATGAATCTGAGTCACTTTGAAGATAAAAAGTTTACTCAGTGAAAATTAAGGGGTATAAATGGGTACTGGCGAAAGTGCTCAAAATATAAAAATAAAATTATAAATATCCCTAGAATAATATTCCAGACTTTTGGGTAAAGTTTGGTAATTAATGGAGTTTAATAGATAGACGAACAAATACCCGCTTAAAGTCACATAACCTATGTTAAGTGACTAAAGAACAAAAAGAACCCCAAACCCCCCAGCAACCCGTCGAGCCAGAAGAGAAGAAAAGAAGAAGAAGGAGAAGGAGGAGAAAGGGAGAGAGAAGAAGAGAGAGAGGAGGGAGCAAATCCCAACCGTTTTTGGTGATTCAAAAGCCTAAACCACTCTAAATCTTCCCTTCTTTCATAATCCTAGCTTAGTTTTGAGTGGGGAGCATTGTGGAGAGAGATATTGCCTCTCAAAAATTCGGCCTTTTGGTGAAATTTGGGATTTTGAGTGCTTCAACCTCCATTAAAGCTTGAGGAGCCATCAATCCTTGGTTGTGCAACCATTGGTGGTAAGATTCTACCCCTTGAACCTTATTTTCATGGAAAATTGCATGAGTTAGGGTTCAGTGAATAGTAAATTGGGGTTTTGATGAAATGTTGTTAAATTAGCTATGTTCTAGAAAGAATGGAACTTAGTGCATGTTGTGAAAAATGCTAGGAACGACGTTTAATCGATGAAAATGAGCTTAGATAGCTAAATGAGTATATTGGGAAAATGGCAAGAATATGATGCTTGATATTGGACTTTCTTGCAATTGTACTCAATGGTTTGGTTGATTGATGATTGTGTCCTAATGATGTCTAGGATTGAAGCATTTGGACCAACCGTAAGTGATCAACCATTGGAGCAAGCTATGGAGCTTGATTAGCTCCATTGGATAGGTAAGTTCATGCTTATGTTTGGTATGAATTGTATAGCTTGGTTGATAGCTATGAGATGTTATTAGATGCAATATGTGTTAATTGCATTAAACCTTATGTAGGTTTTGTTTGAGAAATGGAGTATTGTAATTGACTGACTGTGGAACCTGTTGGTGGGAACAAAGGTTGGCTGAAGCTTGAGGTAAGCCTTCAGACCTTGGGTGTAATTCCCTTGACTGTTCCACCAAGCCCTGAAAGGGTAGAGGTTGTGATTGTGTATATAAATGCAATAAAATAGTGTAATGTGTTGTTATACGTATGTGTATGCATTTGGTGTGGCATAGGATGGTGTTTCCCTATGTGGTATGTTGCATGACGATGCGTAAATCATACTTGGTAGTTAGCTGGCCAGTAGGACTATTTGCATCTGAGTTTCCTTAGGACAGCTTGAGAGCTCGAGGGATTTCTCTTGGAGATGTTATTGCACTTTGCATAGATATGTATTTACTGCATTATTATTGTTATTGCTATTACACTGATATGGAACTGTGGGGTGGAGAGATGCTCCGAGGACCCCTGGTTTACTGGATATATTCGTATATCACACCCCGTGTTGTGGGGACCCCCTTTCAATTAAGGATGCTACAGGAGCCACCGGTGGCAAGTGGCCATACTTGGACTAGTATTGATGCATGAGGATCCAGTATTTTGATATCATACATGTTGTTTTGTAGCTCACATGTATAAGATTGTAACTCATAGACAACTGATAGATGTATGATTTGTATATTGGAATGGACTTAGCCTATGCTCATGCCTTTGGTCATCTCTTTTGTTGATGGGAGCCAAGGGAATGATCATAGTGTTTTGTAAGCTAAGTTCCATGATTTGTAATGAATATGTACTGTAAATGATGCTTACTTGAAATTCAATATATGCATGCTTTGATGTATTGAGTTATTGAATTGGTTGGGCTGAGAATCCATTAGGTACCTTTTGTTTAAATTGGGAAACATCGTGAAAACAAAGGTTATGCTGCCCAAATTCTAGCTAAATCTCATGAGGAGAGGTTGGATGAGTGCTAGGATTAAGTTTTGAGACATGAACAATTGGTGTTTGGAAGGGGGATGCATCTTCCCCTAGACTTGGACTTGAAAGATGTGGGAATTGGAATCCCCTGGCAGCGCGCTTCAGCGCCCAGGAGCACGCTCAAGCGCCTTGCTGCCCCTGTGAGAGCCAATGCATTCGGCCTCCTCGCGCTGGAGCGCCCTGTGTGGGGGCTTAAGCGCCCAGGGTTGCGCGCTTGAGCGCCCTGGTTCGCGCTTGAGCGCCCTTAGCCGCTGAAGGAGGAGATGCTTCTGCCTCTGCGCGCTAAAATGTCCCAAATGGGGGCTTAAGCGCCCAGGATAGCGCGCTTGAGCGCCCTGGTGCACGCTTAAGCGCCCATTTATACTGAAAAACCTGATGCTTCCTGCCTCCGTGCGCTTAAGCGCCCAGATGGAGGCTTTAGCGCCCGATAAAGCGCGCTTGAGCGCCCGGTAGCGCGCGGGACCTGTGATCAACACTCTCTTGTGTTGCTTCCAACGGTCATAACTTAGGCTACAGTACTCCGATTTGAGCGCGGTTTGAAGCCACGCGTAGCTAATGAAGAGATCTCCAATATAGTAGAAGATGTGAAATAAATAAGAAGTAAATTAATGGTTTAAAAATGGAATAAGAACATGATGTTAAGCTTGATTTATCTGATTCCGCAAGGTAATATGGTTATGATCACGAAATTGGGTATTATAAATTCGGCATGTTTTAAAATGAAAAATTTATCCGGATTTTAATTGAACCCATGTGATTGTAACTGCGCTTAATATCATAATGTGATGTTAACAAACCGGTTCTAGAACGGGGCGTTACATTTTATGGTATCAGAGCAGTTTCGTACGGAATAACTGTTAGTTATTGTTGAGTATGCTTAGTGTTTGATGCTTTATAGTTGTTTTAGTACTCTTTATGATTATTGCATTTGTGATCACTAACTGTGGGCCTGATCAACTCACTTCTTTGTGTAACATGTGTAGTGACATGACGAGGCACCGAAACAACCCCGGACCATCAAACACCGATGCTCAGCCAGAACCTGTTTTGGCTGCCCTTGTTAGGCCTAGAAGTGGTCGTGGGGCAACAGGTGGTCAACCTGAACCTGTGACGGCTACTATGGTCGATATGCAAAAGGAATTGGCGGCTAGTCGGCATGCCAATGAAATTTTGATGAAAACTAATGAGGATGCGCGGACTGCCATGGCCGCAATGATGACTGAGTTGAGGACGTTGAGGGGTCCTAGGCCCATGAACCGGCAACGCACTCCTCCTCCTCACACTGCTACGCCTTCTTCACCTCCTTCACAGGAAGAGGGTGTAGTGGGTAACAATGAAGGTGAGGGTAGTCACCATTCTGGAAGTCGTAGTCATCACACCGAGGTTCGTCAACCTCGAGTTGAGAATGTCGGTGACCATGAAGTGGAGGAAAGAAGATTGATGGCCTTCCGAAAACACAAACCTCCTTCTTTTAAGGGAGGTTATGAGCCAATGGCGGCTGCAAAATGGCTCCAAGCTATGGAGAAGATATTCAGGGTGATGAGATGCCCTGATGCAATGAAGCTAATCTACTCCGTGTACATGTTGGAAGAAGAAGCGGAGGATTGGTGGACTAATACCGTGCAGCCATTAGAAGCTGAAGGCCGGGAAATCACCTGGCGGTTGTTCGAGACGTCGTTCTTGGACAACTACTTCCCTAGGGAGGCTAGGGAACAAAAGCAGAATGAGTATAACGATCTCAAGCAAGGATCGATGTCTATTGACCAATACTTCAGTAAGTTCAGTGAGTTGGTGAAATACGCCAACTATGGGCGAGCCTTACCCACTCCGGCTGAAATGACCTCCAAGTTCCAATGGGGTCTTAATGAGAAGATGTCTCAGAAGATGTCAAATTGTGACATCCGAGAGTTCAGTCGGTTTGTAAATCAGTGCAGGAAGGTAGAAGAAGTGTACAAGGTGTCGCAAACCAAGAAGTCCTCTGAGGCCCAGACACCTAGTTCCAATAAAGCAACGGGCTCAGATTATTGGAAGAACAGAATGATGCAAGGCAAGAAGCTGAATGTGAATAGGCCCTTTGACTTGTTCAAAAAACCCAGGACTCCGAAGAATTTTGTTGATAGGGGACCTCCTCCCAAGTGCAAGGGATGTGGCAAGGAGCATAGAGGTCCATGTGCTACCGGTGAAGTGATCTGTTTTAAATGTGGAAGATCCGGTCACTATTCCAGGCAGTGTCCTCAGAACGAAGTGAGGACTATGGCAGTTCAAGCTACTGTTGTTCCTGTCTCCGTTGTTCCACCTATGCTAGAGTCTCAGTCGGTTGGTAGAGTATATACCATGGACCGTCAACAATCGGAGAAGGCTCTGAATCTAGTGAAAGGTACAATTTATATTGATAATATGGATGTTGAAGTGTTGTTCGATTCAGGAGCTACACACTCCTGTATGTCTGATTTTATGGCCGTTGGGCTAAATCTGCAAATGTACGACATTCGCCCTCCAATGAAAGTGGTTACTGCTACTGGAGAGGAGTGTTATACATCCGTGTTGTGTAAAGATGTTGAGTTCAAATATAAAGGTCGAGATTACGTGCTGGATTTTATTTGTTTACCTATGATCAGCCTTCAAGTTATCTTGGGTATGGACTGATTGTCAAAGAACTGTGCTATGATAGACTGCTGTGGTAAAAGGATTGTGCTTGATGCTGATGATTCTGCTACTAGTTCTTCCCCATATCTATCTGTGTTGCAGGTTAGAAAGGCTTTGAGGGCCGGGGCATTGGGATATGTCTTTGTGGGGGGTTTAGTAGGCGGAAGTCATGAGGAGATTGGCACTATTTCCGTGGTGAAGGAGTTTGTGGATGAGTTTCCAGATGAAATTCCACAACTTCCGCCTCATAGAGAGATTGAGTTCACGATTGATCTGTTGCCTGGTGTGGGGCCTATCTCTCTGGCTCCGTATCGGATGTCACCACCGGAATTAGCCGAGTTAAAGAAACATATTGAGGAGCTTTCGGCTAAGCAGTTTATCCGGCCAAGTGTGTCCCTGTGGGGAGCACCAGTCATATTTGTTAAGAAGAAGGACAGTAGCATGAGATTGTGCACTGATTACCGTCAGTTGAATAAGGTTACCATTAAGAACAAGTATCATCTCCCTTGCATAGATGATTTGCTTGATCAGTTGAGGGGTGCTTGTGTTTTCTCAAAGATTGATTTGAGGTCGGGTTATCATCAAATCCGAATTAGGCAGGAAGATATTCCGAAGACTGCCTTCCGATCTAGATATGGACATTATGAGTATCAAGTAATTCCATTTGGACTCACTAATGCTCCGACGGTGTTTATGGATTACATGAATCACATATTTAAGCCGTTTCTGGATCAATTCGTGATTGTGTTTATTGATGATATCCTGATATATTCCAAGAGTAAGGAAGAGCATGAAGGTCACTTGAGAACTGTGTTGCAAATTCTCAGAGAGAAACAGTTATATGCAAAGCCTTCTAAATGTGAATTTTGGCTTTCTCAAGTGCAATTTCTGGGTCACGTTATCTCTGCTGATGGAGTGGCGGTTGATCCTAGCAAGATAGAGGCAGTTGTTGATTGGGAGAGACCCAAGACAGTAACGGAAATAAGGAGTTTTCTGGGTTTGGCTGGTTATTACCGGAGATTCA